GAAGCCGTGGTCAGAGGAGTTCTTATCAATTTTCTATCTGTACTCCTGTAGTTATCTGATAGAGTGCTGTGAATATATCCTTCGATCTCTGAATCAAGTGCATATATAGTTTCTAGACCATGGTTGTTAGGTTCTAACAAATTACTCACTCTAATATTCGGTAAGATAAAGCCATTTTCAGGTATGCTGGGGTTAGGTCCAGTGGTACTTTAGGAATTCGGCACTGTATTCTAAGACCGAGTACGGATTCTATCAAAGACTAATCTCCCAAGCAGACACTGCTTATGACTCTCTTTATTTTCTGTTTCTGCACTGCCATCCATTTCTCATCACACCCAAATAAAGCTGGAGTTTGGGGATATTTAATAAAACTTGAGTGAAAGAAAAGTGACAATTCTATTTTTCCCCCGTGATGTAAACTATTTGGGAGAAATAGTTCCTCTCCTCCCGAGAACGTAGACAGTTTGGGTGGAATGTCTTCGTGAAGGGGAACTTTGCAGACTGACTGAGGTGAAGTATGCGTTCAGATATCGCACCTAGAAACTACAATCTATTTCAAAATGACAAGAAATACGATAACATAGTTCATGATATTAACGTACTACTGTCATTATTGAATGGGTAAATTCTGAATGACAATTGTTCGTGTTCTTCGCTTTCTGTTTAGCGAAAAATTATTTGCTATGTTGGCGGGTCACCACATTTTCTACAACCTTATGCGATGCATGTATGTCGCTGAGCTATGTGAAATTTTGTGTTCCACCAGGATAATTCTATTCAGATTATTGAGAAAGCTAAGAGACTTAGAGCAACATTTTACGTATCGAAAGCTCCAAACTGTCATGGAGCAACACGTTACAGAAGTTGGGATAGAATTGGAAGTAATTTTATGGAGAAATGTGGTCAGCCTTCAAAACGAACAAAAGAAAAAACGAGAGAAAAGATAACGGGAAATGTCTTCCATGTCTTTTTCAACAAAAATATGAGCCTTTATCAGATGCGAAGACCATCTTGATAGCTCGAACACTCCTGTTGTGTCCAGCAAGCAACCATTTCGTAGGGCCTCTGGATAATGATGAAAGGTTATTGGGATGCTTGAATAATGTTTTATTAAGATGACAACACTGTTGGGCTTCAGCGCCAAACGGCTGATCAAAAGAAATGGGAAAGATAGTAAATCATCATGGAAATAATATAGCTTGGCAAACTTTCTATTAGATTTGCACATTACATTATTGATTAGATACGAGAAGCAGAGCCTTATCGGCCATCCAGTGTTCGGTGTGTATCGGTAACATGTGAGCTTTAGGAATCAAAGTTTCTTGCAAATGTCGTACATTAACTTGCTGGATTAGAAATCAGCTTGCTAAGTTATGAAGAACCTTACTTAAATACAAACCTACCTCTCATGGACAACAATTGTCCTGCCACGAGCATTCTCCAAACACTTGTGTCCTGAACTCCTATCTTCAGTTTTTCCCTGTTGCTATTCACCCTTTTGATTTCCGCCTCCGATAACCGATGCAATACGTTCTTTTATCTTCATTTTAGCCTTTACCAGTCACAATTCCAAGTCAGGGATTGCCTCCTGGGACAGTTTGATGGTTTTCTTAATATATGCCATACTCATCTTTGGCAACTTTTCCTAAATTTCTCTTCAATCGAAAGCTAAATTGTTCTCCTCAATAGAAGGTTGTTACTGATGGTATCCGACCAACGGAAGTTCAGTATATTGAGTAGATAACTGTTGAATAATACTTGTACAATTTTAGTGACGGATATAGTTCTTCAAGTTTCAAATCCGTACAGTAAAACTGCTGTGATGTTCGTATTGAAAATTCTAACATCGTTGTTAGCTAGCAGACAGTTGTTTCGAGTTATATATGCTCTTCAACTGTAGGAATGCTGTCCTTGGTTTGGCAACCAATGCCTTCACACCCGTATCAGATCCTCTCTCTTCATCAACTACGCTGACAAAGTACGTGGGAGCTCCCACCTCTTCCAAAGTTTCGACATCAAGTGTGATTAGGTTGGTGCTCTTCATGTTGTATTTGAGGATCTTCCCTTATCTTTCGTGTATGTTGAGGCCTACGAATGTAGAGACTGCTGCAACATCAGTGGTTTTCATCTACATTTGTTTTTGTGCATGAGATAAAAGATCTAGGTCATCTGCGAAGTCGAAGCCATGAAGCTTCATTCAAGCTGTTCATTGTGTTCCAAGCCACTTCTCAGTTCTTGAGGTCTTCGTAATCCATTCAACCACCAGAAGAAAGAGAAAAGATGAGAGTAGGCAACGTTGCATGACACAGGCTCACACTTGCAATGCATCTGTCAGATGTCCTCCATGTATGACTTTGCAGTGTACTCCGTCGTATACATTTCGTATGATGTTGACGATCTAATCAGCTACTCACTCCATTGTGTCGAAGGAGGTTTCGTAAAGTTCTCCTATCCACACTGTCAAACGCTTTCTCATAGTCAATGAAGTTGATGTATGGTGACGAGTTGCATTCAATTGATTTCTCAACAATGATCCGTAGTGCCGCGGTTTGTGAGATATACAATCGATTCTCACGTAATCCTGTTTGTTGATCTCGGAGTTTGGCGTTTACGAAATGTTCCATTAAGTTCAACAGCACTGTGTTGAAATTTTTTCATGTTACCGTTAGTGGTGTGGTGCTTCTGTGGTTTTCACAATTGCTCAGATCTTCTTTACTCGGTATCTTGATGAGGCCCAGATAGCTCAGTGGTAACGTCTTTGACTGTGAAGCTTGGTGACACGAAATCGAATCCGCCAGGTAGCACCAGTTCCCTCAAGATTAGAGGTACACCTTGCTGACGAGTGCCAAGGAGCACGAAACCCGGCCCAGGGTTTCCTGTTGACTACCTGCAACCAACATTTAAATGAGGTATCCTTGTTTTCAGTCGATCGGCGGCACTTGTTTATCCTCCAAAATCTTCCTGAATATAGCTTGGAGCACGTTTCAGTTATTTCTGTGCCCGACTTTCGTGCTTCAGCCGATTTCCCACTGTCGGTTTTTTTACGGCCATCCTGATCTCTTCGTTTATTGGTATCTGATATTTGTTTGTAGGTGCTGTTTCACTGTCTTGTGGGTTCAATGTGTCTGGGCTTCGCAAGAGTTCCTCAGAGAGTTCTGTCAATTTGTTCCATTTTTCTCCTATCGCAGTGATTGGCTTTCCTTATTTATCTTTAACTTATCTCTCAAGTTTATTATATTTCTCTGATATAATTTTCGTTGCATCATAAACTCTTCACGGATTCGACTCTTTTGCAGATTCATCCGCTAGCACTGCGATATTTTCCATGTATTTCTCCTTGAAATCTTTAATTCTGCTTTTCACTATCTTGTTTACTTATGTGTATTCGGTACATGTCATAAATATCTCCGCATTTCTCCGGCTGTTCGTGTTTCTTACGAACCATAACCTCCTGACACGTTCAAGCTGGTGCTTCTGAGATCCCTTTTCAACTGTACTACATAGTAGTTTCTTCTGTAAGCGGATCTTGTAAGTCTTAGGACGTATTGCCGAAACCTGTCTTAAATTAGTCGAATTTGTCAGTATCTTGAAGGAACGCTGTATTAGACCTTTGTAATGCTGCCTGTCCTGTTGTCCAACGTTTCTTTATAAACCACCAGGCAGTGATCCTCTTCTGCTTCCCACGTCTACCATGTATTTTCTGAATTTTTCTCATGCAAATATGATCGATCTTGTTTTCTTAAGTGTGATCCGATGAGACCATGTAGCTTTCTGCATGCGTTTGTGAGGGAATATCACGCCAACTATTACCATTTTGTTAAATGCACATAAATTTTGAGACCTCCCATTGTTCTCATTCTTTTCTCCCAATCCAAGTAGTCGCACGATATCTTCATGGACGGCGTTATGCAATTCGACTTTGACGTTCCAACCTCTCATTCTGGTGGTCATGTTCTTTTATGAGCGCTTCGCTAAGATCGATTGCAGCCTCGGGTAGAACTGATGTTCATCGTCTTCATTGCTATCATTGTTTAGAGAATAACACGGGATAACATTGATTCGATTCCCTCATTTTTGTTTTGAAGGATGCTTTAATGATCGTGTGTCCATGAGAAATTCATTCCAACAAGTGCTTCGTGTGCTTCCTTAGACAGTATCGCAGCAACTCCCTCGATATGTGGAGCATTTTGTTCTTCATGACCAGAATACAGCAACATCTCTCCCGAATCTAACTTTTTCTATCCAAATTGGGTACACTGGGTTTCACTTATCACGAGCCCGTCAACCTGCATCTCCTCATTTATCCAGCTACTTGATTGGTTCTCCCGTTCTTCCACATTGTCCGGACATTGCAGTATAACACTACTAGTTTTCAGTGACAACCCTTAATTAAGGGTCAACCCACTAAGGATATGAAATGAAAAAGCCTGCACCAAAACTCAAGCAAACGTTTGTGGTTAGTAACAATGTCTATATTTTACACTTGTTGGTAGAACATGCTGGCGAAGACACTCATGGAGAAAATATAGTTGTTCTCGAGTGGAAGCCTGCCTTTTGGCGAATTATTTTGGAGGTCTATATTTTACACTTGTTGGTAGAACATGCTGGCGAAGACAGCCAAAAGGCAGGCTTAGTAACAATGTACTAAGAAACTCCCGACCAGTGACGATAGCAATAGCAGCTGACGAAGTTTCTTTTAAAGGACAGATTGGCTTATACTCTGATTGTGTATGGGTTGTGAGTGGTTACTCTGCATTAATCCATGGTCGCTGCTACTATTGCCTAATCTGCTTTCGCTCATGCAGTTTCAACAAGGAATACATCGAATAGAACACTTCCATACTATAGAAATACATATCACAAGGAATCAACAGTCTGCCGATTCCTCTCGGCAAAGTTTGATGTTTGGGCCAAAATGACCATATTGTAATGGGTATTTACGATAGTCAGGTCAACCTAATTTTCATAGTAAAAATATACCGCTTAATTTGATTAGCTGGATGTGACCTTGGCACATGTAACTAACTGGTCATTTCAGGAATGCTTCATTGTAGAAGTTGGCATTCAGTTTATATACAAGGCTTGGATTAGAGTAACTTTAATACCTAGCCTCTTACAAATGAATGTTTATCAGTTCCCTTCTCACTGCTTCAGGCGGTTTCATGCGTTATTCGACATAGCTTCCATAACTTCTGCGATAAACACCAAGTTATGGTCTGGTGTTATAAGATAACGGTGTTTTTAAGATGTAAATAGATGTGATGGTTGGTTTCAGTACCTGCATATCATCACAATACCTATTAGTCGGTGAATCGCTGACAACTTGACTTATCTGAAGCTTGTATTATTATGATTATCCTTCAGATTTGATGTTATATTCTTCACACTAACTGCCGTTTTAATTTCACGTCGACTCAACCGACTCTCTGGTCGGCGTGAGGTGCTTTAAGTATCCTTCGTGAACAAATCCTACTTATAGTCACTAAATCAAATATATTCGATTTGATGATTACCCTTGTTGATATTTTCCTTTGTGCAGAATCAAGTCTTTCATGGTTGGTTTTATCTGTGTCAGGCGTGTAGTTCGACATAACAGGTTGTAATTTCGAATGACTAAGACATCTTAAGAAATCATTATCTCGACCGTAATATTTGGCAGCTTAGTAATTTTTTGTATGCTTTTTGAAATCTAAGCGGATGATATTTTACATATAAACTCCAGTCTCTTTTTTATGAAGGAAATCAGTTACCTGTAATTCTAAGTTTTATTATCTGACTACTAACCATCGTTATTGGCAACGCTCGTATAAAGAAAAGTAGACCAAGCAGTATTAGAATGTGGTATATGGTTTGCAAGTCTGATAAAGACCTGGAGTGACTTTCTTCCAGTATTCATTTCTAGGAAATAACAGTTTTTAAATACAAAATGAACTGTCTACCCATCATCGTTTCAGATATACCAGTGTGGCTTTAAAAAAATCTGGGGAAAACATTTATTTTCGCTGTCTGTTTTGAAATGACATATCCGGGAACTCATCTCCCTGTGTTTAAAAAGGCGAAGTCCTGCCAGTAATTTTGATCAATAATTGGACTCGTAGTGAAGTGACTCAGACGCATCCATTCCTTATTTTCTGGGTTTCGGGTTTCGTTGTTTCATACCTTCTATTCCACAAATATATTCGTACATTTTAGAACTTACGTTATAATTGTGGATAATAATCAATCTTCATGGGGTGAATAAATGAAAAATATTTCCTCAAGTTCCAGTGAACCAGTGGCTTAGTGATTAGGACGTCTAATGCTCCCCTCCTAAATCACAGGTTCGAACCCCGTTTCACGTACTTCTGTTTTAGTAACCATGTGTTACCAGCCCTCACACTTAAAGAGTAACACACCTAAATACCTAGTAAACGAGCTAGTAAGGTGAGTAGGTATGGTCAATGGGGTTACTATTTTGACTTTTTTGTTTATCTTGTTGATTCCTCTTCACTGTATCGATATGGTTTGTGAACGTATACTGATACATTTTTATCTTAAGTTCTATCTTAATTTCGGCTGATTCAAGCGTTGAAAAGTAACATCATCATCGATATAACCTTAGTAAGAGTTTGAGTGATTTCATATTCATCGCAAACTAGTTTTGAAACTCCTAAACTATTTATATCTTGTTTGGTTCGAAGTGGGAGAATTGTTGACAACATTTAGTGTTCTGGGCAATAGCTGTATAAAACTGGCATCTGTAGATTCATCACTACTTTCTGGTTTGGTTTTTTTTTAATTTTGCATCTCAGTAGTGTTGAATGTTAACAGGGATGACATAAAATAGAAGCCTGCTAGAATCTTGCGGTTGTATTTTACTATGTTCTTCGTAAAAGTTGAGTCAGTCTCCTAATTGAAGTGCATCTCTCACTAGCTACCGTTCATACCTACTTATTCATTGATTTTGTAACTCTCTGTCTTTCACAATACTACCATCCCACCTTGTTTAATACACTTTTTTGATGTAATATACCAAAATTTTTGTAACATTGGTAAACTATATATTGTTATCGGATGTTTGTGTTATACAAGTTCTTGTATGTGTTTTGTTACTCCTATTTATTGCAATACCTGGTTCTGACGTAATAACTTTATTATAGTGATGCATTAAGATAAGTATGATTGTGTTTCTTACAATTCGTAACTTTCTAAATAATTTCTTTGTATATCTTGTAGATATTGATCGTGTTACTCTTGTACTTATTTTATACCGGGCTTGACTGATCCTGTATTGTTCAGAACCTATTTGATAAGATTATTTTGTCAAACCCTAATGGAACAAGCTTGTGTCAAGTCTTCTCAGCACCGTTTAGATGACTGGTTAATTATTCTCAAAGAACATCATATTTTAAAATCTCTTGGCGAAGAAAGAGAGGCGTTTGAAAGAAGTTTAGAACTTCCAACGATTCCTGAAATGATATTCGATCAAAATTCCCTATCAATTTGTTTCTGTCAACCAAATAATGAACAAATATGCAAAATTGAATTTAATGCACTTGATGCTCTTAAATTAGTCGACCCAAAGAATATAACTATAGAGGTGAGTTACTTAATACTAATCTCAACACACCGAAGGTACCATTTGCAAAGGACTGGAGAGATTCTCGAATTACTAACCAAGAAGACATACTGCCACATAAACCATATGACTGGACTTTCACTACTCCGTATACAGGCACTTTGTCTGGTGAGTTTTGTTTACGTTTATATACTCTTCTCCGTCATAGCATCCGTGTCGTCACCGTTCTAGGGAATTGTTTCGGAAGTTTCGTGAATAACGAGCACGTTTTGGGGTTTCTAAAACAAATTATTGAAATTTTGACTGACAGATGACACCATGTGTTCAAACGATAGCTTTTCATGAGGCCAAATTATTGGTGCAACCTCCCTCAAGTAAATGGTTATCAAAAGACAAGAATGTCAGCCAGTAGGAACAGTTCTTTTATCTGTAAAACATGATCGTCTATGAAATATTATATACAAGGATAAACATAATGAGATTTCTGTTAGCAAATAAATCATCGAAGGATATGTATAGATGGTCACTCTGTTTAATAAAATTATGATCTTACTGTCGGGCTTAATTCTTGCACGTTACGTAAATTTGAAGATAACTCATAGTGTTTTCGAAGTCCTAATTCGTGTTGTTCACCACACAGTTCAGATGTGACTGATGAGGTTTTACATTTTTCACCCAAGTATATCAACTTATAGGACTGTAATCAATAGCACGATAGTATTCCATTTGGTTATATGACAATGTGCACTCAGTTTAAATAGCTTGACAATGATTTCGTGATTGGTAAATTACTTTCATTATAGGTCCCTGGAGTATATCTCCAACTTCTGAGGGTTTAGATATGGAGTATTTACGTCGGAAAGATCCTATTCGCTTTTTTGTCAATACAACGCTATATGAAGATGAACTAGGTGATAATGGTGTATCTATTCTGAATATAAAGTTTCGTGCAATGTCTTCTGGTTTCTTTTTATTACAACGTTTTTTCTTACGTATTGATGGCGGACTAATACGAGTGTATGATACTCGACTACAATGGCGTCAAAATGATAGGTAATTTTGAACTTAACGTATATTACATCTTATTTTGTTACTTATGTTTGTATTATGGCTAATTAAAATCTACAGTCATCACCTAAATTATTTTAGAAATTTAGCAGTTATGAATCCAAGTCTATGGATTCATACACCATACATCATTTTCAAACGAATATTATTTATTGTAACAGCCGAGTTCATGAGTCGATCTTAGCTAGACCACCACTGAAAACCTGGGAGCACTGTACGGCTGTTTTGTCCTAGTACGAGACTCCTTGGCCGTGATATAGAGGTTAAGCGTTCATGTGAAATCGATTTTTTAGACACTGACTTTTGGGAACAAATGTGAGTTATCTAGAGGTTGAACGGATGTACATACGTACCAGGTTCTACGTTCTGATTGACTGAGAGGTTGATTTGCATAAGTTTACAAAAGATAATTCCCATTTCACCGATATTCGTAGTTGATCACGCAGACGCTTATCTTTTATGCCTGGAAATACAATCTAAACATTTAAATTTCAGAACAGCACCATAACATCAAGTATGTTTGTTTGTGTTCATTTCTGGTATATATCATTGGTTGTATCTAAGATCTAATCCAGTGTCAACATTGTTTCCTTTGGCGTTCACTTTTTACCCTGATCGAGTCATCTATCCCAGCAAAAACAGCAGCTATTGACTAGTATCTACCCAACGCAATACTGATACCATATTGTTCCTGGATAAAGAGACATAAAATATACTTTTATAACCAGAAAATAGGAGGTGGATTCTCTGAAATTTGAACCATTAAAGACGAGTTTATGAAATACAGCATACTTCAATGGCTATATTTTCTATATTCTAACCTAAACTTTCATCAACTTTCCCTCTCCAGTGATGTGTTGTGACAACCTAGTAAAATGTAAAGTGAAACATTTACCATCGATATTAAAAAAATAAGATAATGTAATTCCTGTGATTGCTTGGAACCATCAATTACTCGTAACACATTTCCATATATTTATCTGAACGATATAAAAATCAACATTCTCTTTTATAAAGTAACTGTTACTTAAAATGGATGGAGAATGCTGGTGATCGGCCTTTGCTCATCCACGAGGAGTAACAGGCGTAAGTAAGTAAGTAAGTACTTAAAACGAAACATCTATATAACTGCTTCCTCAAATTATTCAATTAGTATTGTGTGGTGTTGTTTCAAGAAATTTGTAGATATCAGCAAATAATCTTCTACTTTTTTTAATCCAGTTATTTAATTCGTGATATACGCCGAATGGAAAGTTCATCTTGGAGAGAAGATATGGTTGGCATCAGTTTAGAAATAGCAGATCAACTATGTGATACAGTTATAGAGCATTATACAGAAAAACTTGTACCACCATATGTAAATTCATCCTAAAATTATCAATAACTTATGTAAATAGTATTATGTGTTCAATTATTTCTATCGAATTGTTTGTTGTACAAGTTTGTAAATTATTGAACATTATGTCTTCACATTATATTTGTTTTTCATAATCGAAGGGGTTGAATTATTCAATAAACTATATACATTAGACTATTAACGTGGATGCGCACTGCTGAGGAGTCCCATACTAGGACTAAACAGCCGTCCAGTGCTTCCAGGTTTTCCATAGTGGTCTAGCTTCAATCGACTCATGATTTCAACTATTGAAATTACTAAAATCTCCACAAAACCCCTTCTGATAACAATCATCTGCGCACTAGTGACTGACCTCAAGATGCATTTTCTGGAGTTCTAGTGAGAAGCCGTGACCAGTGGAGTTCAACCGGTTCTGTTGTAAGATACTAACTCACTGAAGACAATGGTGGGCGGTGGTGCAACTTCGTGAATTGGTTGAATTTAGACATTGACATCGTTGGATGGCGGTCGGCTCAGTGGTCTAGTGGTTGAGCGCTCACGCGCGAGACTTATAGGCCCTGGGTTCGAATCTCGCGGGGTGGGGCGGGATCGTGGATGCGCGTTGCTAAGGTGTCTCATACTACGACGAAACGGTCATCCAGTGCTTCCGGGTTTCCCATGGTGGTCTAGCTTTAATTGACTCATGATTTCAACTATTGAAATTACTAAAATCTCCACAAAACCCCTTCTGATATTAACGTTTTAGTGGGCCACTTCATAAAAATAATCTGTCTTCTTCAACCTTAATGATCGAATGGTATTGTCAGTCTTCTCATCATAATACATGTAAGTTTTGGAATTCCTAATACTGAATTTAGAAAATTCATTTTAAGATGATCATTCTTACACCTTAATGTCAGCTAGAAAACCAGCTAAAATAAGATGTAGCTCTGTATATATTCCTTTCTAACTCTAAGTTTTTCATCTATAAACACCTCACTAAATTACTTGGAACGGAAATTAGGACCTCCAGGTTGAATGACTATTAAAATAACTAGGGTTAAATAATGTGTTGTAGTTCGCATCTGTCGGGGGTGTTAGATCCGCAGAGCTCACTTGGTTAATATCCCATTTTTGTAATTTTATTCTAAAAATTTGAATTTCTTGTTTTTGCGCCAAAGGCGCTTATTTTTTTTTACCTTCATGTCGTATTTCTTACTTGGGAGGATCTTAAACGCTATTGGCTCGTTGTATCTTTTCGTATGCTATTTTATAACGCTTCCCAAGGACATTCTTATGCTGTATATATACGCTTGATTTGTGTTTGTTGTTGCTGCTCGTGCTTCTGGTTGCTTGTGGAATGTATTTCCTTCTTCCGAACTTGGACTTCTCCCTCTAGTTAGCGGGGCTGGGACGCGTCGGAATAACTAGCTTATTTGTCATTGTGTCACAGAGTCTTTGTTCTGTTTTCAGATTAGGTGAACTCGTAATCTGTCCAAACATAGCAACATCCTCAATTTTATCACAACGATCATCCGATTTCATCAGTGATACGTGTATCACTTCCGGTATGTTCGGATTCTGTCTGTTACTAGTCCGTACTAGGACTTGTATAATCCATCTGGAATTTTGTCAATGATATGAGTTAATACCCATAAACCATCTACGTATACACTATAGACTAGTTATTAGGTTGGATCCATTCATCAAATTTGTTGTGGAGGTGACATTCTCAAATACAACAGATGAAAAAGAAAACCAATATTAAGATTCACATATTGTTTTCAAGGTGATTTCTGTACAGTCAGCTGTCAACGCGATTTCGTCGTACTAATTTATTCACATTAAATTCTGTTCATTAAGAACCTGTGTGTTTTTCTGTTGTAATTGTTTACTTTTCAATGCGTTTTTGCCTTGAATTAATTAATTCACTGTGACTTCGTACTGTATAATAGTTGCCCAGTTCTGTAATCAATAACCATTGTATAATGGATATATAACTGAACTAACTTGAATATAATTCAATTCTTCCGAAATTTTTATCAGAAAAAGCTTTTATATAAAACTGAACGTTTTACTCTAATTAACAAACAATGATGGAAGAGATAAAAGCAGTCTTGTTCATCATGTATAGAAGTTGTAATTGAAAATAATTAGCTATGTAAATAAACATATTGTATTTCAACTGATTCTCATTTAGTAGAAACTTGGTGGAGGTAGTCAACAGGGAACCCTGGACCTAGGTTTCGTGCTACTTAGCAGTCGTCAGCTAGATGTACCTGTAATTTCGAGGGAACAGATGCTCCCTGACGGATCCGTTCTCGTGTCATCCAGCTTCAAAGTCAGAGACGTTACCGCTGAGCTGTCTGGGCTGCAACTGACCTGTAGAACTGAGATCTATTTACAATTGATTAACCACTGGGTGGTGATCAATGTCATGTATGTCAGGTCCTTCTTAGTGCAGATCAAGTCCTATTGACCAAGTTGCAATGTGGTTTCTTGTTGGCTACCTCCAACTATCATCTGATCTCAACCATAGTGCACTTAGTGTCGCGTCACCTAGACTGGTGACTATATCGCAACTTAGTCGATAGGATTCAATATACACTAAGAAGGACTTGACTTACATGACATTGATCACCACCCAGTGATCATTCAATTGTAAATGGGATTATCTTCTGGATTTATAATTAAACCATAGCTTGTAAACAGGTAGTCGATTTTATAGAACCGGTTGATAAGAACTTCATTTAATCAGTTAGTGCACACAATAAAGAGTCATATTTATGATATGGAAAACATTTATACTGTAAGTATTATTTTTAATTTGGAACTCAATATTTCTGAGCAAAGATATTCTGTCGATCGATGAAACTATAAACCTTCTCTGACCTACATAATTTTAGTATTTGTTATGTATGTTCAACCGCAATCTGTCCAGATGACCAACATTGTCTGTTATACAAGTAGATTGGAAAAAATATGAATACATTAGTTCATGGTTTTATTGACTGCAGGTCTGAACCATGCTCGGAGATGCATAGTCCCTGGTTAGAGATATCGATTGGTATTACCCTAAAATTTCGAGCTTGATATATACTAACTTACGGACAAGTTATGAACAGTGTATCCACGTTATTTTGAACTGTGAATGTTTAGATACAAAACATTGTTACTTCATTGATAAAAGTATGCTTCAGGGATCAATCAGAATCAAGAAGAGGACATTTGGTTTGGTGCGCGAAATTCAACATACCACATACATCAACCATTAAACATTCTTCTGGACACTAATTAAAACGTTTGAAATGATAGCGAACAATCATTTCCTATCACCATAGAGTCAAATGATGATAGTGTTTAATGTATCAAGTGTCTAATTCTGTTCCTACAGATTGTACATAACAGGCTAATTGACACTATCCCTAAATATCAACTCTAAACCCTTAATTAATCCTGAAGAAAACCTTAACGTGATGGCCTTCAATTTTATCAACAAACTAATCAGATATCACCTCTCACACTTTTCGATGAATTTTATTCATTAATGACTTGGGAATGATTTAAGATTCTATCAATTCATGATGAAAATCCTGTCCTTAACTCGGAAATATGTGGGTACTATTCAAAATGTGTTTGTGTATTCTTAAGGATTCGAGAATATAAACAATGCTCATCCATCAGACCAAGTTTATATATTGTTTTTCTTTCGATTTATAAGCAGAATAACTTATAGAATACATTAATAGATTAGCTACTTCTATATAATTTGTTATCACTTTACAAAATTATTACTTTATTTCTCCTAAACTCTTCATCTATGAAAGCTATTTTTTGATTAACTAGAAAGCCTCTCGTAATTTGTAGTTGTTCTAAACTCATCACCATACTATACTGTTCCCATTTTGTTGAACAGCTGAAGTTATTTATCCATATTACTTGATACTTAAATTTTTATTCTGAGTATAATCCGTGTCGAGCATAGAAAGGTATCTGCCTCAGTACAATGGAAGATGATCGCGCAATTTCGCGGATTGGTTGTTGTTAGACACTAACAGTAGTCCAGTATGTTAAGCGTTCGCGCGCGAGACTGAAGGCCCTGGTTTCGAATCCCGCGAGTGGGATCGTGGTTGTGCACTGCTGAAGAGTTCCAAAATGGGTCGAAACGGCCTTCCAGATCTCCAACAGTGGTCTAACATCAATCGGTTCATGATCTCAATCAAGAAGCGGAACATTTGAAAAATGTGATTAAACTAGTTTGATGATCAAGAAGTTCGAACATATTGTTCCCAATACATATAACTAAGGTCATAAATTATCGATGAGAAAGTCTTAAGAGTTCAGATTTCCAACGGTGGTCTAACACCAATCGGTTCATGATCTTAATCAAAAACTTAATTATCGCCATAATCCCTATATTGATAATTATTTTTCATTATTGAATGTTTCAGAAAAAACTGTATGCAAGTTATAATTGTTATTTTAATGGTACTATTTCTCAGTGTCTATTAAGAATATTTGAAACAGAAAATTTTATCAATGGATAGATTGTTTCATCTTGGAAATTATTTGTAGGGTTACTAAGAGATTTATGATGTAATCTATCATCAAGAGTTGGATATAGTGTTGTTGCTGTGGTTGTTATTATTGTTGTTGTCGTCGTCGCTGGTGGTGGTGGAGAATGTAATGCAGCTTGTCGATAATTTGATAAAATAAGATTTGATGATTGTTTATTATTTATGGTAGTATTTATATTGTCTAGATTAATACAATTAGTATTTTCGAATAGATTGGTTGTTGTTGTCATATTTATGGTAGATAAATTATTGAATTCATTAAGCTCTGCATGTATATCCAATTTATTTTGTTTCATCTATTAATAAAACATAAATACACATTAAGAAATAAAATGATCTTAGTATAAAATTCATATTACACTCTGTTTTATGGAAATGAGTTTGACTTGTAAGTTGTATTCGTCAAGGATTGATCCCGATTTGGGTGTTATTAAAAAGTAAATGAATCCAGGATCTTCATGTCATGCAGTTAACTATTGATTATTAAAACCACTAGGTTGGCATTCATTCATGTAATATCGACTTCAATCAATTTGCGATATAGTACAATGACCATTTTATGTAGTTGGTGGTAACTGTTTCACATTTGAGATCTCTAAATTCTACCAGTCATGACTTCCTACCGCAAGCTATTTCACATACATTCTAAATTCTTTATCACATGCTATTTGTAAGGTCAAAGTCTTCAGCAAATCCATGGTTAGCGG